AACGCCAGCTGAAATCGTCCGTCTTTACTACATAGCCAAATATAAGGAAAAGCACTTGAAGCCGACGATGGTTGGGGACCGCCACTTGCAAGAAGCAGCTTCACGACCTGGACCTTCTCTCGCGATGTTGCATCTTTGATCGCAGCTGCGTCTCGAAAGTCTACCGACGCTTTGCTGAAGCCGTTTCCCGCTATGAGCAGATTGACGGCTTCGATGTGATCCGTCTTAACGGCGTAAATCAAGGCCTCGTGAAGGGGAATACCAGAGGCACCTTTCGCTAGGAGTTTGGACATTGTTGTGACACGTACATCAGGAGTCGCGTTCAGATCAATGGACGAGAACGCGATTGAGGCGAGCTGCTCGTTGAAGTTATTTGACGAGAGGAAGATGTCCATGACATCTATCCGATTGGAAGAGACAATGCTTTTCAAGGCGGCAGCATTTTCGTAGTCGATTGAGGTATTGGCATCGATGATGAGACATTTGATCATGGCGACCAGAGGGTCAGTGCCAGCTAGGAGGGGTTAGAACTGTCTTTGTGGATGGGGAAGCTAGAGGAGGTTCAGGAATTCCTTTCGTCCTTGTATTATTCAATATTTTTAGGAGTTCTTCTCGGTCTCGGGCTGACAACATTTTTCTCGAGCCCAATATTGTCACACATTCGTATGACAATACCAGAGTTGGACTAGGAGTCTGGAGCCATGTCGTGAATAGACGACTCAATGATACAGGACAGAAACGAATTCAGGAATCCTCGAGTAGGGCACATTACCTTCAACAGCATTTTGGACAGTACATTGCCTGACCAGTCCAAGTAGTACCGGGGCAGCGTACAAGCCTGTAGCGCCCCCGTTGCGCAGGGCATCCAGTAGTGCCTTCTTCTGGTGGTTGTTTGTGGTAGTATCCGAGAATATGAACGGGACGGCCTCATCCAGACTAGACTGAGATGGTGGATGATTACACAAGATCATGATTTTAACGAACTCATGAAGTCCGTTGAAAACAGCTTGCTTCAGTGCTTTACCGCTTTCGGCATCGGCATCGGCATCGGTCTGCGCAAGGATGTATGCCATTTCCAGAGCGCAAGTCTCCACAGCAGGGTATAGAGCATCAGTCATCGTAGGTATTGAAACGCTTTTCTGGGCAGACAGCAAAAGACCAACAAGATCTCTGTCGGAGCTTCTGACGGCGATATCAAAGAAACCAGGATACAAGCTGGCATCAGCCCCGTAGGCGAGAAGAAGTTCAATTATATCGAGATTTCGTGAATGAGGGGCAGCATTCAATGCGATGCCGAGAGATTCATTGATGCTAATATCATCCGCCTTGGAGAGAAGGAGTTGCATTGTGTTGATGTTGCCAGCTTTCGTAGCAGTGGAAAGCAGATCGGTTCTGACATCCTCCTGGTCGACCTTTGCGATACGCTTCCATTTAGTCGTACTCCTCCTGATGATGTTGATATCTCCTTCGTCCTGCTGCAAGAGCTGCAAGAGTTCTTCCACAACGCCTGGAGGCCCGGCAGCCTGGACTACAGATTGTAGCGCGGATGCTATCTCCCGGGCCTTGTATTTGGATGCTTTGGGCTTCGATGTTAATATCTTAGATATCCCATGTCGCTTCGCAGACTCGGCTTTAGCCGCCTGGACGGCTTCTATATGTCCTTGAGCTGTTTCAAGATCACCAGGAGCCTTGAATGTGATGATCAAGCTGCGATCAATAGGTTTGACTACGCGGGGATTTCGTAAACCCCATTCTTTTGCAAACGGGGACATTCGCGCCGGGCATTCTGGCTGAAGAATAGGCATTGCGGGGTGGAAACGCTGTTTATGTTCTATAGGCAAGAGTTAGTTTTCAGGTCAGATCCAAGGTAAAGTTAGAGCCTGTTTGGCTGCAGTCTTGGGAAAACTCTGAACAGTCTATTACACTTACTGATTTAAGTCATTAATTTACCCTATCATCTCGCACAATGTGAGGCAATACTGCGCTCGGGTGTTAAGAGTAGTTTAGCGAAGAGCGAAGGAAGTTTCGTTAAGACTGCAAATGATAAAGCACACACGTACTTCAGGTAAATCGGATGTGTATCAAGCTTGAAAACTAGAGCCTCACGTTTAATCATCAATTTATTGTCGAACAAATCCAGAAACTGTCTAGGTACATGAGCTGAGAACTATTTGAAAGGAGGCAGGCGAGGCTAGTACCTATTGTGGAAGAGGCACCCCGCTTTGAGGGTGGTCAGCTTCAAGACTGGCTCCCACATGGGGGCCGCGGGTGTGCAATTAAGAGGACTAGCAGGGAAGGGCGGCGAGCGAATTGAGACCACTTGACAGACGCAAAAAACGGCCTGAGATTAACGTGGCAGAGCAGGCTATCATAGACTACTACATTGCGTTTCGACCTTCTAGACCGGTGCTCTTGCTGTTCCTATTGCTGTTGCTCTTGATGTTGATCTTGACAGGTGGGGACCAATGAGTGAGCAGCTTCGCCCACCCTTCTTCCTTTCCCCAGAAGAAAGGGTCCGAATAATTTTCATTGACTTAAATGGTTGATTTTGGGGGATTAGGCTGACTGAAACGGTGAGGCTCTGAACAGATCGGAAGGTCAAGCTTTTAGCCCCTTAGCCGGCGAAAGGGGTGGAGGCTGAACAGGGTGGGTGTGATCGAGAGACGAGATAACAAGGATCTCCCAACGCGAGGCGCTCAGCCGATGTAACAACAATATGCAGAAGAAAAGTAAAGTGCGCTCGAATTTTGGATGCCTACCTCCAACCGCCGTGGCTCAGCATTGGAGGCGCTTGCGAATGCTGCAGCTTTCATAATCTGCGTAGGAGTGGGGAGTGGGGAAGTTTTGGCGGAGGAGAGTGTCAGCAAGCTTGCGATTGCTATGGAGGTGATAGCTGGGCTTCTCTCTTTTTGCATGATGGGAGTGCAGACGAGGCTATAAATAGAGAAGAGATCTTCTGTGAAATAGTATGTCTCGGGAAGTATGCCTCGCTTACTGCAAGCACCATACACCGTAACCGTACATAATTCTTGACCCCCAAATCAGACACCGTGCCACATGTGCTGCGGCACAGGTAATACTCGTTGCACACTCGCTGCCCTATTGTGATAGCACGTCTGCCGTTCTCGACATCGTCTATTGTAGCTAATAGAGCTCAACAACGCCAAGTTCTGTATTTAAATTTTTTATTGCCAGAGCGACTCTGTACAAACGGGGTATCATGGATCCTTTGTCCATCGCTGCCGGGGTGATAGGATGCATCGCAGGACTTACAACGATCTACAAAGAAGGTAGTAAACACTTTAAGAAATGGAGAACTAAACGGAAGGAAAAGAAGAAACCTGCAGAAGAAGAGCTGCAAACGTCGCTCACAAAGGCACCAAATGAAGTGGACAGCCAGTGCCAAAGGTTATTGAAAATGCACGGGCAACCATTCGCCAAAGGAGATGGTACGTAGTTTGTCGACCTTAAGGACCAGCAGCTAATCCTATTCGTAGATATATCTTGTGCGTCCCTGCTGAAGATATCTGATGGGCTCAACAGAAAATTACTAGCGGTACTGAAAGCGACATTGCATGCTCGGAGTGGTGGACACTTCGAGCCCGAAAGCCTCTGGAGGGTGTCCAACTCTGCTCGGGATGAAGCAATTGGGACACTAGTTGACTTACATCAAAGGCTCGAGGTCAAGAAGCCAATTCCAAGACCTTTGAGTGCGAGGGAAACCGGTCCCCAGATTCTTCATCCTTCAGACCGTCTACGAGTATCCCATCCACCACCTTCACGACCTGAGCCGATGTCTGATCAAGAGCTGGTACACAACAGACCAGAAGACTTTGCCCTTGTGCCATATGGTACCACAGACACAGATCACTATCCATCTAGTATTAATTTCTCAGCGCCTCCTTCGCTCGCATCCCGTGCCAGCTATTGTGGATCCGATTATCAGCTGGATTCGTCCTCAACACAGCCCATCAGTGCGAAATTCCGCATATCAATATCTGAATTGGCAGCTCCGGGTTTCGGCGGGGCAAGTAGGAAGACTGCAGATCTACTCTGTGAATGGAAGGAAGATTTCGATCAAGAACAACTCCGGACAATGAAGACAATATCCGCAGCGATAAATCCTCAATTTACGCAACTTCTCGCACCAGACCAAGTACCACAACGACAGATACTGATGCGGCACTCGTCAGCGCCCTCAACACCAGTCTTCAATCATCGCTCATACAGTCCTCTTTATGAATCGCAGCCAGTATGTGCCGCACGATCAACTCCCACCAGCCCGAGATCTGAAAGCCAGCGCCGGCCCACATCCGTACCCATACGTTCTTACAATCCGATTCACGAATCGCAACCAATACATACCACTCCCGCTACGCCGGCGCGACCTCCCGCACGGTCAAGACCTGGACTCCAGTATGATAATCAGGGAATGGTAGCTGCGGAAACGCATCGGAGTGATTCCTACGTGCCGAGTGTGATGGCTACGACAGTCCCGCCACCAACGGTTACTATCCAGAGTGGCTTCACCCATAATCGTCTGAACAACTCTGCGAAAGCCTCTGCTGACGAGATATTCTCGCGTGTTCCTTGAACGGCGTATTTGCTGAGAATAATTCGAGGATAGATGGTAGGCAGAGGGAAACTACAAGTATGGAAGTTTACTGGTGGTGCGGCATCCACCCTACCCCACTCGACCCCACCCACCTTCGTCACACCCCCAAGCTAAGTACCTTAGTAAACCTTTTGTTGCACATCGCATTTCATGCATTAAAATGTCTTATAACACGGCGCTTTTATTGGCACCTGGTCTGCAGTGGGTGTATACAAACTGAGACATTTATCGGATGAGTGAGGTGGATGGGGGCTAGTGAGTAAGTGCGGACCCTGCTGGAGAGCGGAGCTCGAAGTGAGAAAGTGAGACATGCTGGGGTGAGGAGAGTCAGTCCTGTGACTTCTGCGTAGTAGATTGTTTATCTGGCATAGACGGAATTTCTTACTTAGGAGTCGAAGAGATCAGGAAGCTCGAGGAGGATAGGGGTAGAGAGGGAGATCCAATGGCTGTATTTGTTCAAGGTATAGGGTATAGGGTATAGGGTATATTTATTCGTACCTATCTCATTTATCCATCCATTCATTTATTCAACAACCCACCCCCTCCCAGCGATCTTCCTCTGCACAACCTTCCTCGCCGGCAAAGGCCACCCAACGCCACCGCCCCCTTCTGCCCTCAGGTAAGGAATAACCCAGCACTCCCTCTCATTCGGATTCCCCTCACCCTTCATCTTCGGCATGACCTCCTTAATCGGCTTCCCATAATGCAGCAGCGGGGTGCCCTTCGCCAGCGCAGCGAGCTGCCCCCCCGTGATATCCGTAAGCGCATGCATCCTAGTTTTCGGCATCTTCTCAGGCGTTGCGGGGTTAGGAACTGCGCGCTGCAGGTACGAGTAGATGATGTAGTCTGGGCATTCTTGCGGACTGAGATGTGAGAGTGGGGAGGCGGGATGGATGAACACTGCTTTTTCCTCATCGCCGTTGCGCGCGTGGGATGGGAAGAGTGTTAGGTATGGGACGCTGATTGCACGAGTAGGTTTCCGGTACACATCAGGAGGCGTCGGTGCTAGGTCTGCGCGAATCGCAACGTGATCGATGAAGCCCGCTGCGACCATTTGCTTGAGAGCTTTGACTTGCTGTGCAGTGGGAGGGTCGAGTTTCTCCTGGTATTTCAAGCCCGCGAATGCAGTGATGTTCGTCTTGAGGAGGTCGGTGATTTGCTTTCGGAGAAGGGAGATTTCCTTCAGAGTCTTGAATCGTACGAAATGATCGCGACACCATGTTTCGGTCGGCTCGTGGGCAAATTCTCCAACTACTTGTAGTAGCTTGATCGCATCTGCTTTGTCATCTAGGAAGCAGAAATCTTTATGTACTTTGTTGAATTTCCGTCTGATGCTATTACGGTGGTCTTCTTCGATGCGATCTGCACTGGTGAAATATTCGTCTGCTTCCTTGACGGCAGCGGTAGGCACGACTTGATTCTCGGGAAGAAAGACGTCTGGCGCAGAAAGACCGGCTACCAATGCGATGGTGTATGGAAGACAGTTATGCAAATGTCCTACTAGTAGTATTCTCGCAAATCGAGGCGAGAGAGGGAAGACTGACATCGTAGCACCAGTTGATGTAATCTGACCCGTAGGTGATATCGCAGACAAGTACGTCAGCAGCTTCTCAGAGCTCGCAAGACTTTGCCGGTCTGGGGGCGTGGGAAATGGGAAGTTTACAATGTGCTGTAGATTCATCGCCTTCAACTGAAGCACGACTCCTTCGATTGGCATCCGTAGTATTTCTGGTTCCGCGAATTCTTGAAAGTCTCGCTCATACACAGCAGATGAATATAGTCGATAGCAGTGCCCAGGACCAGTACGTCCAGCACGACCTGCACGCTGACTTGCACTAGCTTTGCTGATCCAGCTGACCTCGAAGCTCTGAACGCCTGTTGTTCGGTCATACTTGCGCTCTTTCGACCTTCCGCAATCGAAGACATAGCGAATACCTGGAATGGTCAAACTGGTTTCTGCAACATTGGTAGCTAAAACAATCAGACGCGATCCATCTGGTGGTGGCTCAAAGACCCGCAATTGTTCTCTCGTTGGCAGCAATGAATATAGTGGCAGAATGTGCATCTTCGCCGGCCCAGATTCTTCCTCTTCGCCTTCCAATTTGAAATCTTCATCATCAACTGTGATATCCACTTCGTCATCATCGTAATCATCATTATTATCGTCCATAGGCTCGCCAAAATCAACATCTTCTGCTTCCATTGGCGCATCTTTGCCAGAAATCCGCACCTGAGGTCCAGTAGCTGTATGCCCGATCCGAAACGCCTCCTTCAGTTTCTTGCTGAGCTGAGTAATCTCATTCTGGCCAGTTAAGAAAACCAGGATCCCACCCGGAGGCAGCTTTTTGTGTCCTTTGCTGATTTTCCGGAAGGTATCTTCAACATAGTCGTGATGAGTTCGGCGCGCGAAGTGATTCGTGACGGGGAATTGTCTGCCTTCAGCTTGAAGTACCGGTGGTGGGTTTGAAAATAGTGTTTTGTTTTGTGTGAAGTCTGTGATTCTCAATGTCGCCGACATGATAATAAGCTTCAACGGTTTAGTCGAGTCATCCTCAGCTGCCATTTCTTCTCGTAATTTGACCACCCGACTTAACATTCCAATAAGAATGTCCGTATTCACACTTCTCTCGTGAGCCTCGTCGATAATGATGGCAGAATACTTCCGCAGAGCAATGTCTTGTGCAACTTCTCTTAAAAGAACACCATCAGTCATGAACTTTATAGCAGTCTCTGCTCCAACAGTACCCTCGAACCGAATCTGATAAGCAACTCGTTTGCCATGATCTCCCATTTCATCTCCAACACGCTTAGCCATGCTGACAGCTGCTACTCGACGAGGTTGCGTTACTCCAATCAATCCAGGAGTCGGAGAGTTTGCGGATCCATAGCCAGCTTCGTACAGGAATTGCGGGACTTGGGTCGTCTTTCCGGACCCAGTAGCCCCATATACAACAACTAAATTGTTGTTATGTACGGCTTCCATGATCTTCTGTTCTTCTGCAACGACAGGCAGTTGCAGTCGGACCTCTTGAATAGCTGGCGGTCTCGATACTGATACACTATATGCTTTTCTGGTGACATTGGTGGTGGGTTGTAGTTCTTGGGGTAATGGATCTTGCTCTGGAGCACGTGCTTTGAATCCAGCGATTTTTTGGGTTTCTGTTGCATTTTGGATATTTGATGATGGCTGATAACCAAGAGCTTCATTCAACTGCTGATTTGCCCAAGCTTTGAATGCAGAAGACCGTTCCTTCTGCGGCGTATCTTCTCCATCTTCGCTTTCTTCTGAAGATGACTGCTCGGAGCTTTCACCCTCTTCCGAGTCACTTTCAGAATCAGAGGCGGAGGGAATTCCTTCACTTTCCGAATCCTCTGACGAATCAACCTCCTCGTCACTCGCCTGCGAGTCCTCGTCGGTATCCATTTCAGAAGCAGAACTGAAGCCTTCCCATGTCGGCTCCTCTGGGTATTCCCTTTGTAATGAAACCTTAGTTTTGATGCCCCCCGTTCGTTTCCTCTTTTTCAACATCGGCCGTCCATCATCGCCCAACTCGAGTGGTCTCTTGAGTCCACCGCCAGTAACTACCGGAGCCTGCTTTGCTGGTAATTTAGGCGCAGAAGCGCCACCAAATAACCCCCCAGTAGCAGGGGCCTCCACCACATCCTCCTCGTCCTCATCGCTCAAATCCTCAATCTCCCTCACAACCCTCCTCTCAAAAAGCACATCCTCGTTATCCCCATCCAAATCCACACCCTTCCTCCTCTCCTCCAAAGCCCTCCCAAGTCTTTCCCTCTTCGTCTCCCTCCCCTGTCCCAAGAGCCGACTACTTGCAAAAAGACTCGTATCCGTACTCCTCGCTGCCAACTGCGCAATCAACACTCTATTTTCATCCTTCTTCAACTTCGTGTCGATATATTTTTCTAGTCTTTTTGCTTTCTTCCCGCTAACTTTGCCATTTTCCTGGCGTAGTTCGTCTTTCATGCGCTGTTTCTTCTCTTCAGTTTCGGTTTTCGCGACTGGGATGTGCTCTATGGTGTTGGAGTCGAGGAGGGGTTCGGGTTTGGATTGGGATTGAGAGTGTTGTTTGCCATTTTCTTTGGCTCGGGCTATCACTTTGTGTTTTCGCTGGCGGGGGACGAATTTGGGAGGCATTTTCGGAAGTTAGAAGGTGAAGCTGCATTTGTTATCCAATTTGGTTAATATCTGGAGAGGAGGAGAAATCAACTTTTTTGTGGCAGAATTCAGGGTTCCCAAGGCGGTGAATGGATGGACCCACCTTTGCGCGAGGCTGAAAAGGAGGCTGAAGGTTTAAGTCCAAGTTGTTTCCAACAACATCGATTTGCAGAAATGGCAATTCCAAGAATAGCAGATGCTTTACAGGGTATAGAGTTGAATGGTGGAATAGAGCCGTCGCCTTTCCCTGCGAAAACGAAGCAAGCGGCAGGTCTTGTCAACGGCATGGAAACGGACCTCACATCGATGTATTTCTCGGACAAGATCTTGATCACCATTTCACAAGGTGGCCGGTTAGCACAATGGGTATGATCTTCTGCGTTCCAATAAAATACCTGCTCACCCAGCTACAGATCCAAGTCCCACTCTCCACCGCCTCGCCCACATCCTTTGATACCGCACTATCGAGCGGAAATTCAGACATGCTTCCTCTCGGCCACCTCACCCCAAAAACACTCCTTGGAGCAGGCGGCGACCAACGTGAGACGATGGGTCATCTGTATGCCAGTCAGATTGCGAGTGCGATTGCTACGAGGGATCCCGAAGAGACGAGAACCGTTATGGTGGGGTTTGGGCTGGAGAAGGTGGATATGGCGCGGGAGACGTTCTTTGATTTGATTGAGCTGGTGCAGAAGGTCATATGAAAGGATAAGATGACGAAGAAAGCGAATTAAACATTGGGCAGCTCGATTGAGAACTGAAAGCATGAGAAAATATTTGACAATTGTGGGAAAATGGTCGGACTTGACACTTGGGAGACATGCCAGCGAAGGTGTTGGACCTTTCGTGAATAAGAGTCTTGCTACCTAATTTACGACGACATATGGTACTCAAACAAACACCAAAGCATGAATAAAATAGATGCAGCCGTTGAGCTACTGCATCTTTGTGTTGAAATATGCTACAGACGCCTTCACATCTAACCCCTCGTTTCCACTTCAGCTTGCATCATTTTCCTCTCTACGCTGCGACGATAGTTGCACGTGGAGCTTGTGCTTGTAACGCCAGCTTCTTTTTCATCTCATTACTCTCAAGCGTGAATCTTAGCTGACACCCTATTCCAGTGTTAAGACACTATGCTGTGCTATTTATTGGAGTAGCACTTACAATCGCCACAAGAAATCGGTTCATATTTAGCTGGATTTTCCGAAGACGTGCAGGATGGCACTACCCCTTCCACACAGTTGAAATTCAAGCCTGAACTCCACATTAGCTCGGTCATAACACAGACACTGTCTCAGATTATCAACTCACCGAAGAAAAATGGCATAGACACTCGCTCAACTGTCGCCCTGTTATATACCCTGTGAACAGTGCTAATATATATATCGTTGCAAAGTCTCATCATGAAATCGCCAATGTTTACTACAATGGCACCTTCAACAGGAACGGCCTTGATCCATTGCCCGTCTCTGTTCAAAACCTGTAGTCCCCCTACCATGTCCTGCCAGAGGAGAGTGAAGAGCTGGAGATCAGTATGGCTGCCGAGACCAACAGAGTCGTTTGCCTTTTCTTCAGCTGTTGTGGTGGGGTAGTAGTTGAAAGTCCCGTCTGCACCTGGATAAGTCGTCCTACTGTCAACTGGATGTCTAAGTCAGCATTCATCTAAGAAATATGGCCGGGGAGATGGGATATCCATACAATAATCCTCAGCGAGATCAAGACTCAACGCAAAAACCCTAACCAGCTTCCGCGACAAGGTCAAACAAGCAGCCCAGTAAGCAAGAACCTCCTCCTTGAAACCCGGCAAATGAGAAGTCCCCTCCCACACAAATTCCTCTCCTCGAATCCAAGGCCTCACCTCCTCAGGAATAGCATTCAGATCTTTTGGATCCGGATCATACTGGGGCGAATATCTCCAGCCGAGCTTCATTCCCCTATTGATTAGCAACTTCACATCTCTTATTACATGTCATGTGAGGGGGCCTTTCTTACAGTTTCCTTTACGTCTACACTCTCACTCGGACTAATGTTCGTTTGTCTGGGCCCTTTATACCCATTGAAAAACTTGCTCTGCGCAGATGAGATTTTCATCTTCGCATCTGTCGTTTGTCTGAAAAACCTATTGATTGTCCAAAGTCAGTCAACACTACTCTCCACAATAAATTCCCTTCTCCAAACTCAAGTTCAAGTTCCAGTTCAATCTCAGATTCAAATTCAAAATCAAAATCAATGCCAAAAAAACACGAACCAACCTCAAAAGTTGCTTCTTGGCATTATCAATCGTCTCTTCCGGAATCCCATGATTTCTGATATAAAAAAACCCCGTGTTAACAGCCGCAGCACGGATCGTCCCAGCTAGCGCCTTGCGGTCACTTAGCTGCGCGGAATAGAGCGGCGATATGTCGATGATGGGGATCTCGGAGGCGGTGCAATCGCGGGGTGGTGTGTCGAGGACGTCTCTGAATACGGGGCCGTACGCTGTTCGGAGCTCGAGTTTTGACATCGTCGGGGGGGTTATGGTGGTGGTTGTTGTTGACATTTTTATCTTTTTGGTTGGTATTGTTAGAGGCGATTAATAGTTTATATGGGGTAATAAAGGGGTTCTTGAGTCTGGGGATAGATATATTGGAATGACCCCACCTTTGTTCGGGTTGCATTGTGTCGAGGTAAGCTAGCTGACTACGTGTGACGACTCCCACTTTCGAGGTAATGTTGGAATGTAAACCCTCTCGGCGACATCCGATTTCTTATTATTTTAGATATATATTTTGAACAGACGGCGGGATCCGCTATCGGGACAAGAAATCATGTACATCTTCCTCATGGAGAAGGGTTGCTAGGATTCACGTATTGAGTCTTGCTCCCCCCTTTGAACGGAGTTTCGCGAGGCCCTTGTAAGATGGGGGTCTTATGTTACAATCCTCCAACCACATGCTGGATGTAGGTTGCTATCAGTATCAGCAGGGTCTGAGAATGGGTACCCATGCATAATGGACAACATGTATTCACCTCCCAAAGGTCAATTTTCGTATCCATGTTATACAGCATTCAAGACAGATAAGATAACCATAGATTGCCCCCAAAAAGTTCAGGTCATAAATTCGCTTTCTCTACATGACATTCCCAGCTTTCATTCTCTCTCATCATAAGTCAATCCACATGGTGAAGAACTGAAACGAAATGGTCAACGCTTTTGTTAGACGCTTCCGCAATGGGATTCCAGCTCCTCATTTACAGGCCAAAGGCACAGAGGATGTCCATGGTACGGATGCATGGTTGGACAATGATGATATTCGGCCTTTGAAGTTGGCGGATCGTACTTGGAACATGTGGACCTATCTCACTTTCTGGTTTTCTGCGAGTGAGTGAAGCATAGATATTATGGTTCAATGATTGTTGAACGTATTGCTAATATAGGTCATGAATAGATGCTACGGTTTCCAACTGGTACGCCGCAGCAAGTGCACAAGCTGTTGGTCTCAGCATGTGGGAATCTCTTGGATGTGCTACTGGTGGTCAGGCATTGATTGCGATTGTCATTGTGTGTAATGGTCGTGCCGGAGCCAAATACCACATGTATGCTGCTCGCGTTCAATCCCGGAGTTCAAAGCTGATGGTGTCAAAGTGGTTACCCAATCCTCAACAGGGCTTCATTCGGTATCTTTGGTGCTTGGTGGCCTACCTTCAATCGCGCGGTAATGGCAATCGTCTGGAATGGAGTCAACGCTGTTCAAGGAGCACAATGTGTGTATGTGATGCTTCATGCGCTGACGCCAAAGATCGCTCACATCAAGAACATCATGGGTGACGGCTCTGCTCTTGACTCGGGCGGCATGATTGGGTTCGTGGTATTCTGGATCTGTACCTGCTTCTTCCTCGTCATTCCTGTTCCCAAGGTAAGCAAGGCTTCAAAGTTGCCTGCGAATTAGCTGACATTCCGAAAAGATGAGGAGGTTAGTCTATGCCAAACTAGTAGTCTTCATCATCTCAGCAACTGCTATGTGCGCTTGGGCTCTTACGAAAGCAGGCGAGATTGGAGAAATTATTCGCCAGCCAGGAAAGGCCACAGGCTCAGAGAGAGCCTGGCTCCTTGTCCGCTTCTTCTTTCTCGGAGCTGCAAACTGTGCGACTTTTGCATCCAACGCTGCGGATTTCCAACGATACGCCACCAAACCCACTAATGTTATTCCCGGCAACTTACTCGGCTTCCCCCTCTCCAACGTAAATGTCCCACATGCAAGAGAAGCATCATAGCTAACACGCCAGCAGTTGATCGTCTCCTTAGTAGGCAACCTCGTCGCAGCAGCCGGCATGAAAGTATACGGCGAACAGGTCTGGAGCCCGCTAGACTTCCTCGACAAGATGCAAACATCCTCCTACACACCCGGCAACCGCGCCGGCTGTTTCTTCATAGCAGCCTGCTTCACATACTCCGCCATCTTCTCCTCGATCTTCGAAAACTCCCTTCCAGCAGGAAACGACATTGCGGCTCTCTTCCCCAAATACCTTTCCATCCGCAAGGGCTTCTTCATCTGCGCCGTCATCTCTTTCGCCATAAACCCCTGGTACCTGCTCGGCTCCGCTAGCATCTTCGTATCATTCCTCGCATCGTACCAGATATTCCTCTCGGCCATCACGGGCGTGCTGCTGTGCCATTACTACATCATCGCACGAGGCTATCTCGAGATCGAAGATCTGTATACGGCGAGGAAAGACGGAGTGTATCATTATTGGAGGGGCTGGAATTGGCGTGCGTATGTTGCGTATGTGGTGGGCGTGGCGCCGAATTTCTATGGGTTTTTGAATAACATGGGTGTGCATGCTCCGGGGGGTGTGACCAAGGCGTACTACTTTGCGTATGAGATTGGTCTTGTAGCAAGCTTTTTCACATACTGGGCTGCGTGCTGGCTTAGTCCGCCTGCCTTGATGGTTCCATTGAAGGAGTGGAGGGAGCCTGTTGACTATGTCAGGCCGGAGGATTGTGTGGAGGTGGTGCTGGTTGATGATGTGGAGGGCTATAGTGAGAGTGTTGGGGGTCAGAAGAGAGGAGTTGTGGGCGGCAAGGTCGATCTTGTGTGAAGTCTGGAATAATGGTGTGTTCGTTTTTGCTTTATGATACGACATGATGATAGAAATAAGTAGTAACCGTACGCTACTTTAATACACTAGATATACTCCTACGATCTATGTTGGTTTTCCCCCTGCAAAAGCAGACTCCACCACGCACTTGGTATCCCCAAATCATGAAGTGAAGGACGGAGGACGCTACCCATTGGCCTGAGGCACCTTGTGGTCGGGGTAGCAAGCGACTCCACTGTGAGAATGCCGACAACTCCAGCGTACAATCTTCTTTCGACAACAATAACAATACCTCAATATCGCCATCTACAACAACCAAATTCCCAAACAAGGGATTGTAAGGCGATGTAGAGTCACGTATCAAAAGCCCTTCAATGGCATTAGACACGCCGGTCCTATCACATGCATGCACGCACCTCCGCCGAATTAATTCCTCCGAAGTCTACCTCCGAAGTCTACCTCCGTCCGCTCATGTCGCTTAACCACAATGATTTCCAATCCTCCATTCCTCCGTCCGAGCTTTTTATATCAAGGATTCTAACATCTCCGCCCGTCATTTTGTTTTCTAATTTTGAACTATTTCCACTTGACTCCTCCGAAGTCTCACAGTTCATCAAGACTTTGACACCTCTGTCTAGCCGCTTGTAGAATGACTATTACTATCGACTTGAGGGGCACTCCTCGAAGTTCCCCTGAACATGACTCCACCTCCCTGAATGTCGAGTCGGAAGCCAAACGCAGGAAGCTCCGTAAAGGGACTCACAGTTGTTGGGGGTGCAAACGAAGGAAAATAAAATGCACTTTCAAAACTCCGGCCGACGCGATCTGCGTCGGCTGTAGCCGGCGTGGTGTAGCCTGTGTTAATCAAGAGTTTCCAGAAGGGGGAATGACCTTGGACATGAGCAGCTCTATAGTGAGAGATGGGGCTATGACAAACCAGCTAGCGAAGATGGCTGGCAAGGAATCGGAAGGCGGGTCGGTGCAACTGAAACCTACAAACACCGCAGCACACTCTATTGATGTTGATCTCACGTTTGAAAGAACTTCAACGGTGGATGAGACTTCGGAGGTACGTGCAACATCACTAGGCTTGGACCCGTGAGCTTAACACAGCGGTTGATAACGTTTATTATAGCATATATCTACAAGATTATCATCACTACTGACGCCAGTATCGCAAGTCGAGCATCCAGATAAGGCTACATATCCTGACGCAAGTAAATTTAAAACGCTATCAGTGACTCTGCACCAAGCTTTTCCTTCTCAGAAAGATGCCAATTTACTGTACAAGTCCTGCAAAGGCATTCCACTATACTGCTATCAGATGAATACAAGGCCATACAACAAGATCAAGTCCGAAGGAATAAAATTGGGGAAGGATTCACCGGAATTTCTTGGCCCGGATACGCATCCAGTGCTCTTGGCTAGACAAATGCTCATATTCGCTTCATTGATACAGGAAAGCCATACTCAGCATCTCGAGGGCCTCTCTGAATCACCTGAAACCATCAAGAAGAGATTAGCAGATACTGCCATCAATATGGTGACTACCAATGAAGAACTTCACGGAACAACGGAAGGCATAGAATGTATCGTTTTGGAAGCCGTGTTTCAGTTGTATAGCGGCAATCTACGGCGAGCATGGCTAGCATTTCGAAGAGCACTGACTGTGGGTCAATTGATGGGGATTAATCGCCTACATGGCCCTCCGTTGCAGAGAATCGACTCAAATACTAAGATAAATCTGCAGTTTATGTGGTTCCGCATCGTCTATATGGATCGCACCCTCTCAATGATGCTGGGTTTCCCGCAGGGCACCACTGACAAAAGCATGACATCTGATTCCACGATGGCTGGTGACACGCAGATGGGTAAGCTTGTACGCAGCCACGCCGTGATTGCAGCTCGCATTCTGGAGTTGAGGGATACTGACCCATGTATTCAAAATCCCGCTCCTTTCCAAGAAGTCGACATGGATTTGTTGAAGCTTGCAAATAGCCAACCACCTAAGTTCTGGTTGCCACCTAAGTCTATACGCATGGAGATTGGCTCGGAACCGTATTTCTGGGAGTCGGTGCGTGTTACGAATCAGCTAGTCCATTACAATCTTGTTTGTCAACTTCACTTATCGAGCCTGCTTCGTTCCGACGAGAACCAGAAGTACACATGCAGATACTCCAAGATGGCTTGCATCAATGCTAGTCGCGAGGCTTTGACGCGCTGCATCACCTACCCTGGGTTTTCCGATGTTGGGGGTTGTTGTTGGATCTTCGCCATACCGGCATCTATGACACTGATACTTGCTCACATAGACTCTCATAGACCCCAAGATTTCGATCATGTCCTTGCCCATCAGCGTATGGGTGACCGTGGCATGATAGAGAGAATTCTTGAGGGCATGGAGATTTTGAAACGCGCAAACGGTGATGCATCGAGCGAGAAGGGGGAAAATGTGCTGCAATGGCTGCTAGGCATTGAAGCTGAAGTGGCTAATGGTCAAAAGTACTCTGCTCGAAGTGTTAATGAGCAAGAGGGATTTCAGGAGGATGATAATGCGATGCGGATAAGCATCCCGTATTTTGGTATCGTCAAGTTTACCCACGAAGGTCGGATCTCTAAAGAATCTCCGCAGACAAGATGGCTCAATGAGCAGGATGATAAATTCAACGATACTGGTCTTACACCATCAGCGCCTTTGGACTCGTTGAATAATGTATCGAATATCAGCGGTTTACCTTTTGATCCAATTGGCATCGATATGGGACAAGTTCCTCAAGCATCTGCGCACACACTCCCACATCCAATAGATCAGCAGCACTTGGCGGCACAATATCCTAACGCCAGCAACCACCTTGATACACAGCAACAATACTCATATCCCGGGTTAACGGCAGGCATCGAAGATTGGGCTTTTCAGGGTGTGGACAATGCATTTTTAGATAACCTAATGATGGGTACACGACACCGGGATGACGGGACTAATTGGCTACCGGATTGACAAAGTGAAAATAGTGGTGGCATATGAGCGTTGCATGGCTGCTAGGTGAAAAGGGCAGGTTTTGGCACGGCTGGCTGAACCGCTTTATCTAGCTTACGTGTATGAAAAATCGAAACGGAATTGGATGTTACAGGGTATTGGACACTACTTCCTTGTAACGACTCTTCCAGTACCACGCTTCTCACTCGATTGCTAGAGAACTTGACCGAACAATCCATAAAACAATGTGTCGAACGAGTTATGCGACAGTCGCCTTTAATATCGCTCGAAGCTCGGGGCTTTTTTTTTATCTTTACGGAGGGCTGCCTACTTTTGGCCATGGTACGCTAACTTATGTCATGCTATGATATTGCTCAACTCCGCATTCTTCAACTCGGCCTCCGAAAGACTCTATGAATGGACTGTGGGGGTCTTTCTTCCTCCGCGCGGCAGACCAAACGCGGACGGACGTATAACAACTTCAGCCGCCACAGAAATTCTGGTATGCTTATTACAAATTCAATCACAGCCCTGGTATCAGGTCGAAGGCATATAATACACTGTGTTTACCTTCCTCGCTCCCAATTCTACATGAATCTTTCCCATCATTACCACCAAGGATCTAATCACAACTACACTCTACCGCCTTGAAAGAACCTAATCTTCCAAAATACTACCCGGCGTTCTTCAGACTAGCTTTCGAACACAATGGCGAACCTTGATCTCAATCCAGAAAATAGGAGGTCGAGTTCTGGATCAACCCTGCAACCAGATACAGTGATTAAGCAAGAAAAAATTGCTGGTGAGGGAGCAACCGACGAAGCTCAAATCGCAACCGAGTATCCCCATGGTATACGCCTTTTCCTCGTCATTGTGGCAGTCGTATTCAGCGTCCTATTGGTAGCACTGGACCAAGTGAGTAATACCAGTGTCTCAATATCTCTACAGTGAACATTCTGACTTCCTAAGACCATCGTCGCTACCGCAATTCCCAAAATTACAGACGAATTCCACGGTCTCAACAAGGTGTCATGGTATGGCTCGGCGTACTTCATGACATTCGGTGGCTTTCAATCTTCATGGGGCAAAGCCTTCAAATACTTTCGATTGAAATGGGTCTTTTTGTTATCAATGTTTATCTTTGAGCTTGGAAGTTTAATCTGCGGGGTGGCACCAAATCCGATAGCCTTGATCATCGGACGAGCTATTGCTGGTATAGGTGGTGCTGGCATGGCTGGCGGTGCCTTCACTATTGTTGGCTTTTCTGCTGAGCCAAAGAAGAGACCTCTGTTCCTCGGCGTGTTGGGACTTACCTATGGGATGTCTGCTGTGATGGGCCCACTCCTGGGTGGAGCCTTCACAGATCGCGTCTCCTGGAGGTGGTGCTTTTACATCAATCTCCCTATTGGGGGGCTGGTAGCCGCATTGATTGTCTTCTTCTTTAGCAATCCAGAAGCAGCAAAACCAGTGGAGGCGACGTGGAGGGAGAAGATTTTGCAGATGGACTTTGTCGGCGTGGCACTGGTCATGGGTTTTATTATCAGCTTCACATTAGCTCTCCAATACGGTGGGCAGAGCAAAGCATGGAGCAGCAGTGAGGTGATCGGCCTGTTCGTGGGCTTTGGTCTCATCTTGATCACATTGGTTATCTGGGAATTCTTCCAGGATGAGCGCGCCATGATGGTTCCACGCTTGATAAAGCAACGATTTATCTGGACCGGTGCCCTCTTCCAATTGTTCTTTGCCGGCGCGTACTTTATTCTCCTCTACTACCTCCCGATCTATTTTCAGTCAATCGACAATACCAGCGCCATTGGATCTGGCGTACGAAACCTCCCGACGGTAATAGCAGTCGGTATAGGTGGTCTTGTTGGGGGTACTGTAGTCTCCACAACCGGTTACGCAACTCCCTTTTCCGTCGCAGGTTCTGCTCTTGCAACAGTAGGTACTGGGCTGTTATACACCTTGGATATTGGAACCAGTCCTGGCAAATGGATCGGGTATCAAATTCTTGCCGGATTCTTCTTTTGCTTCCCGTATATGAATTCCATGAACATCGTTCAAGCATTGTCAAAACCTGAAGATATGTCCTCTGCTGTATCAATTATATTTTGTAAGCTACTTTCTGAATACCTGGAAAAAGCAAACTGACCATGTTGCCAGTCTTCCAAAGCCTCGGCGGCTCCTTTGCCCTCGCAGCTGCGCAATCTGCCTTTGCTAATAAGATCATCACCACTTTGGCCACCTCTGCACCAGGAGTCGATCCGTTTATAGTAGTCGGAACAGGTGCTACGGATATCCGTAAGGCTTTCACGCCTGAGAAGGTCCCTGGCATTCTCGTCGCGTATATGCAAGGCATCAAGACCGCATTCGCAATTGCCGTCGCCTTTACTGGATTCTCGTTTTTGCTGAGCTTCTTGAACACCTGGAAGAAACTTTACACCCCCGGTGGTGGAAAGAACGCCGCTGTTGCAATTGCCTAAGTCGAGACATTTTGCAGTCAACATGGGTTATCGTAGAGAAAGGGCCACCGTGCGCTGTTATTTTCAGAATGTTATGAGCTATGTTATGACTGTAAGATAAATAGAATAGTACTTTTAATAGAATCGCGCTCTATAATTATATGTATAACAAACCAAGTTCCTAGCCTTGATATGCGTTGACGGTCATCTTATTGATGCGTATCAATGCAAGCCCTACACTTACATCCAGTCCTCTCATATGGACAGAAATGGGTCGTGTTCTGGTAGCCCTTTCTTTACAGACATGAGGAAACAACCCCAATATGGCTATGATTATTAATTCGGCCTCCGAAGGAGACGTCATTATCTCCGACTGACAAATGATCCGACCAGCTGACAATGGCTCTGAGCGACAAATAATCACCTCATATGAGTATATATATCTAGTGTAAACTTGCAAGTCCAAGCTACCTATCTTAATATCTTAACAACACAGTATGATATCCGACAAATTCTTCGCTATTGTAGCTGGTGTCGGCCCAGGAACAGGGAGATCAGTCGCCCTTCGATTCTCAGAATCTTATCCGGTAGTCTTGTTGGCTCGTCAGCCAGAGAGCTACAATGATATTGTGACTCAAATAAACAGTACTGGCGGGAGAGCAATCGGTATTACTATCGACGCAACTGATGAGGCTTCCCTTAAATCTGCATTCGAAACCATCAAGAAAGAGTTTGGGAAGTTGCAGCTCATCGCAGCCATCTATAATGTTCGACCAGACTCGCGGCCAAGCCTCAAACCATTTCTGGAACTGCATCTACAGGATTTGGACACTAGTCTAAACGGCAATGTGTACGTCCCACTTCACGAATGCGCCTTATTTAAAGCTAGTTTTATCTCTAACAGAGTATCATATTACAGTCGCGGTCTGTTCAATTTTGCTCAGAGCGTCCTGCCACCACTTCTCAAATCTGTGGATAGCTCTCCTAGAGCGCCAACTCTGATAATCACTGGTGCAACTGCATCGATCAGAGGCTCTAAGCTATGGTCTGTCATCGCAGCAGGAAAATCCGCGGGTCGTGTCTTGACTCAATCGCTGGCCAGAGAATTCGGTCCGGCAGGAGTTCATGTCGCCCACGCCATCATTGATGGTGCTATCGACGTGCCGGACGCGGAGCATGCTGCTCGCAACGACGCAACTCCGGACGGAAAGATCAGCCCGTATGCTGTAAGTTAGCCAAGTGATGATCAGCGGATAAGATTTCATGCTAATTCTATCCAAGATTGCTGAGAGTTACTGGAATCTGCACACGCAACATAAATCGGCTTTTACGCATGAAATTGATCTGAGACCGTTCAACGAGCATTTTTAGGTGGCGAGAGGTGAGGGGTGGCTTTGACATTTGTGTGTGATATTAATGAAGGAAACCAAGAAATTCGGCCAATTTGCTAGTATATTAATCAATCCCAGAATTGATCATTATTCGGAATCGAGAACAACCTTAATTTTAAAGAAGGAAAGCAAGAATAATGATATCATCACCGAGCGACTTATGAGAAGCTTGCAGATAACTATTTTGATTCACACAAACCGCTGCCGCTTTTTTATAGTACAAAGATACATACTGCCTAGAATTCCTCTCCTTATAATTCACAAACCTCGAAAATAGAAACTCTAACTAAACATTACTGCAAATAACCTGACTAGCACAAAGTAATAAATCATCCAGAATGGCGGACTAAAATCAATTTCAAGGCACCCCCGCCCTTTCACAAGAGCCTCAAGATGAAAGTCATAAAATACTAAAGCTCAATTATATATCCCAACCGTTATGTTCTTACTTCAATGAAGTTTACTACGGGTACTTTAATGAGCAAGTAGAACGCTTCTATCCGTACAGGTTCTACAGTGGCCCTGAGCCCTATGACCGTAGCAAGCTGCAAGCAGAAACGCGATATTTCAGAGAATGAAAGCCGGGAGAAAGAATATCATAAAGGACAGCGTAAGTGAATGAATGGGTATTTATGAGCGCATTTTCACTTGTTTCTATGATGAGGTATTTAGTTCTTTGCATAGTCGGCGTTTTAAGAACACTTTTTTGATTAAGTACTTTCTTGTCTTTAGGGAATCGAGGAATAATTGAAAACGTTCATAATCGACTGCTTAATTTAGTATGACTAGTGATTTAAAATATTTTCCCTGCATATAGTTTTGTGTATAAATAAAGTGAAATATATACAAGTTGCTTTTTTAGTAGTAGAATCGCTAGCTAGACCCCTTAGATTATATAGCTAGAAGAGTCTCACAAGTAATAATCAACCTCTGATCTTTATAATTACAGTTTTTCTCTTCTCTCCTATGCAAATTCGCTAGTTGTCATGTTATTTCAAAGTTAGGAAAATACCTTAGTGAGTGTAACTTGCCGCTTTTGGACTAGCCATTACTTAGCGCATCGGCTCATCTTGACCAAAACTCTGATATTTATATCTATTCCTCGATTTATCAAACCAAAAAGAAAAATGTCCCGCAGAGACGTGCGTACCAGGGATACAGAAAACTCGATATGGCTGGATCTGACTGAGAACGTCTTCCGCCAGCATTTGGTCGCCCTCGAGGAGAGAACTAATGCAGTCCCACTCGAACCACAAGTTTTTACCGCTGCGGAGTGGCATCCACCGTCTCCCAACAAGTCAAAAACTCAGTACACATTGCCACTTGCTGTTGAGCAACAAGTGGCTGATGAGTTTGCTTGTCTAGTTGCCGTTGAAGAAGGCGCCCAAAGCGTGGCTGCTATTTGTATGGAAGAGCACCCCCAAGCTCCGAGGCTCACTCTGCGATTTGCTGCTATGGACGTGTCGTTTAACGATACGGTCCAGAGAGCTTTGGAAGAATGGTCTGTTATTTTATCCAGGGCTGCTGCTGGAAATGGACCGCCTCTTTTCGATCCTGTCGAAGCGATGTTTCATGGAGTCATTCGGTTGCATTTCCGTCGCCTTCTTGCACGGCTCCGGTCCAGCAAGTGGAACAAGCCCAAATATTTATCCAAAAGCCACAAAAAACCCCTCTGGCAGGATATGGAGGGGCTGATTCATCGCGCGCAGTTCGTATACACCAAGAAGGAGAGAGTGACGAGAGTGCTGGTGGAGAAGTTCTTGGGCGACCTGGCTGCAGTTTATGAAGCCTTTGAACATGCATTGGGGAATGAGCTTACCGAAATAGAGCAAGTCGTTTTGAGAAGCTTGGAATTCTGTTCCACTGCAGAGATCAAGGATTATTTGCTTCGTTTGGAAAGTAGTGTGGGCGCAAAGCCAACAAATCAAATGGCGTCTGCATTGAAAACCCTTCGACAGATTCAAAAAATTGCTTCATATCGCCGGATGAGCATGTCTTTGGTCAAGATCGCCAAAGAGTATCCGAATTTATTCGAAGGCGGAATAACATTGGCGTACTTGACGCCGTACCAAAGTGTCCCAACAACCATTGGATATGAAGAATGGGCGACTACTTGTCATGTCCACGCTGAAGTCCAATTGGCCGTTCATTATGACCTGATCTCTCAACAAAAACGGGAAATGTTTCTGAAACCACGAGCTATTGGTGTATCCAAGTCGCTTTGTTACCTCTGTTACCGTTTCCTGCTAGCTCACCATGGATTCTTTCCGTCGAGGACTCACGGCAGGTTGTATGATCAATGGACTTTGCCCGATCTATCCGAGTTCGATGAGGATACTGAGAAGCGATATCGGAATATTTTGAAGGATATTGATGAGGAAGTGGGGAGACATACAGAGAACGAACCAGAACTTTGGAGAATAGAACCGATGACGAGCATTGACGTGTATTACATACAACATCAAAACTAGGATACAATTAATACCACCAACACCATATCCTCCCTAAAATTCAAACAACCCTCCTTACTTTCCCCGTCTCAACCTCATACACCCACCCCGAAATAACCACCTCATCCGGAATCAATTTACTCTCCTTCAACAACTTCACATCACTCTCCACCGCGCTCTCTAAATGCGGGAAATCCTGAAACTTCCCCTCCCCACCAACAAACCGCTTCAGCTCCTTCAGTCCCGCCTCCCCCAGATTCTTCTCCACAATCCCCGTCGCAGTCTCCGTGTCGAACGTCAGCATCCCGCATCCGGTATGCTTGATAAGCAGGATCTCCTTGGTGCCCAGCAGCTGCTGCGAGATGACTAGAGACCGCAGTGCGTCGACGGCGCTACCGCCCGCGTTGCGGATTACGTGCGCGTCGCCTAGGTCGATGCCGTATGCGGCTGCGGGATCGATACGTGCGTCCATGCATGTCACTTTTTATTACTGTAATCAGCATGTCTATTTGCTCTATTCATTATATCGATCTAGTTTTGAGGAAGTAGGATTGTCCTTATGTAGAGTGGATAAGTAGGGGAAACTCACCTATAGCGTAATGTTTCGCGGGTGGCAGCGCCAAGTGGCCTTTCGTGAAGGCCTTCCCATACGCTTCATTCTTCTCGACTAGATTCTCCTGGATTGGCGATGGCGTGGTGGATGTCATGGTTCCTTTCCCGCTTTTCTGTGTCTTTCTTGGGGATTCTCTTTTTGCTGGACTTCCGTTAAGTGCTTCTGTAGATTTCCGCTTGACCATTATTATGGAAAAATAATTCCTCTACTGTTCCTCTTCTTTCTCCTATTCTTTCTTTTCTCTTGAAAAAAAGAGGCAGGCAAGTATTAGATGATGAGTTTCGGTAAACATAATAACGGAAGTCCCAGTCTATAAAAGTCCTGCCCATTTATGCTTCCAGCTGATCTGCATCCTTTCAAGCTCAGCACGTGCCTTTGCCTCGATTGCGTGCTCACTTTTAAACACCTGTGGCATTTTAAAGCAGGAGCTGGACGTGGAGAAAGCGGTGAGGGGTACCGTAGTTGCCTCCACTCTTTGCACTCTCGCTTTTCGTAAGTGGGATCGCATCCAGCGACGAGGGTCGCGGTATTGTAATCCCGGGCGGCGGGCCTCGTGAGAGTGAGATTATGGGAGACACTGACACTGCTGTGCAAAAATGGAAGCGGGATAGATGGCGTGCTCGGCTCGGCTTGAAACTTCGATGGACCGGTTGACCAGGTAAGTTCTTGTCTAGTGATCGGGAATGAAAAGTTATTACCGTATGCTTTTCAGCTGTCCTATCCTTTGCTATTGAGTTAGCTAGCAGGCGTCTGTCTGCTCTACTCCAAAGATGGATACTTACTTGATACTACGTGGGTTAGCATATAGTGATGCTGTTTGATAAATTTATATTTCTCTACTTCTTTCAGCACGAAAATCCAAGTGTGTGGAGATATTCCACCATCACATTTATTTACCAATTTCCGCTCAAGAACCCCGCATAATACGCATAAACAATAAAATAAAAATAACACGATTTCAAGTTCAGAATGTTATTGTTATCTACAACTAAACTACCCTCTGTCTCTTCTTCCTACCCTGAGCAGGCTCTTCCGGTTCAGCTGGAGGCGTTACAACTTGAAGCAGTGGATCTTCCTTCTTCAAGGCCTGAGCCCTGGACAGTGAATTGGGATCCAAGTACGGTCTCTCGCCAATCGAGGTAATTCTGATTAGTTTGCGCTTTCCATTGTAATCACTAGTGCTTGAGTCAATACGGAATGCTTTTAGTTTTTAGAAATAAACATTGCTGGCTTACTTGGTCGCGCTGTGGAAGGTGGAACGGCTGTGTTGTATTAGCGAATTCTGATAGTATGCAGAGAAGGGGTGGGTGCGTACTTATCCCATACGACTATGTCGTTTACTCCCCATTTGAAGCGACACTGTAGATCGTGGTTCTCTGTTATGAGTTGCAGAACTACATGTAATCGTTAGCAGTTTTGTACTGTTATGTGATTGGGTTCGCCTACAGTATTGCTTCATCATTTCTTCCTCCCGATCCGTTACACCATTGATCTTCCCATCGTGGATCTGTTGACCGGCAGCGAAAAGGTGTTTCCATCTACAATCTTTTATTAGTTGAATCAGAAGTGGCAAAGATTGCTTAATTACCCGGTTACAGGATTCGTTCGCACTACTGGACTGGTGTTTACCTGTTAGCTGGATGGGTCTCAAACGGATGTGTAGAGCGAGGGTTTTTTTATACTGTGTAGCACTGAAGTCAAGTCCTGTATTCTCTGGATGACCGCGGTTTTCGGTAATCAGCGGATCTTTCGATTGTTGCAACACGCGTGAAAAGACCGGCTGGAGACATGAGCTGTTAGTAATGGCTGAAGGTGAAAAGCTGGCTTAGTAGGTAGTAGATAAGGCTCACCTGGAAATGTGTCGCTGTCAATCCATCGCACAGCTTCTGCCAGTATGGAGACATGCGGTCGTACATCTCGTATGCGCAGGCAAAAATCGTGTCGCCACCAACATCGTTCGGCATCTCAGCCATTTTCAAAACGCCATAATCTGCGGGGATATGCTCGAAGGAGATATCGGAATGCCAGAGGTAGCTGGCTAGTTTGGGGAGGGGTGCGTCGAATCTGTTACGGTGGTTTTCTTTTTCTCGCTATTTCAGAGTAAGGAGGAATCAGCACATGTTGTGTTGATTCATTTTTGCAAGCAAAAGAGATGTGCTGGCTGGCTGACCACTGACGACACGAAAAACACCTCCTCATCTGTCTTTCCATTTTCATCGTGGTTCTTCACGTTGTCCTTGCTGCTCAATGCATGGCGGTGCAGCTTCGAGTCCGAAGGCTTGTTGGTGAGTTCCCCGAGTTTGTTTCCCAGGTCTTTCATCTGGTCATTGCTGATGTCTTGGGCTCGGAAGAAAAGTGCTCCTCTCTGCGACGCTGAATCTTGCCATCAGCATTGATATACAATAATGTGCTAACACTTCTCGAGATAATATTTACCTAAAATTGCGAGATCTTTAATCTTTGCATCGTCCTTCAATAGCTCACTCAACTGCACTTTGGGGAACTCGCGCCCAATGGGTCCAGTGACATCAAACGATTCATACTCGTCTAGTGTATGGGAATAGCTCAAAGGCGCTCGGAGAAGCGCTTCAGATGGAGAAGGCATGGTGATCACTTGAACAAATTTGATGTTTCGATTGACATCTTTATCTTCTCCCACCTTGCACACTTGCTTTATGCAACGTACAGCGGCCTGCAGCGCTTGGTAGGAGAAGTCCGTTTCTCTTGCGTGGGTACGTCCCTACGTACAGCATGAACTGATCAAGGTTCCACATGCTCTTCAATGCCACTCACCGTCTTTAATTGCCGTTTGGGGATAAAGGCATCTGGCCGACGAGTTAAGGTTCGTCTCGAAGTCAAACCCCCTTTCCCTCCCCACTTTAAGCGAGAATCCAGTCAAAGGTGGGCTAAAAGTGGAGCTCTGCGAAGACGTGATTCTCTCCTCAGGGCACGCAACAACACATAATTGGTGGCAATAACACTCCTTGGGACTGCTTTGTAATCAATCTCTACTACCGAGCTCCATAATTTGGTTCCCAGGTGTTTTGCAGCAACAGGTTTTATCCTAGAGAGTGACCCCAAAGGAATTCACTGGTGGACCCTGTGATTTACATGACCACGATGTTGGGTCAACCACGGCACGCTATGAGGTCTCCGTGGTATCTCCCTGTCTCCCAAGCCCCTCTACTTGCTACCTTCTAGATCATCGAGGCCGATGACTATCCTGTCCGTTACAAGTACTGGGTATTTATTGTTCTATACCACAGTCTCGTCCCTACTTTTCTCCTTCGCCATTCAATTCTCTATAATTCTATTAGATTTTCACCTTCCAAGGACAGCATATCATCATGGGTGCCCCAGAAGTGATTGCAAGTGCTGTAACAAGCGACGCAGACGCATCCAGCTCGGAGTATAGGGCAACCCCCCCAAAACAAAGCCGGAAATGGCAGAGTTACTTTTGGGTTACTTGGGCCAAGAGTAAAGAGGTGAGCAGGTTGAACAGACATCATTGTAGGGGAGAACTGATACGGTTGCAATATAGGAACAACGTCTTATTCGCAAGGTTAGATCTTGCTGTTCAGTAATGGATGCTTCATAGCTAACAATATCCGATGGAAAGGTGGACTTTACGCTTCTGGTTTTTGGATTTCTTGGGACTTTTACAAAGTTTATTGACAAGTAGACACACCGTATAGTGCTAGAGGCTTTCTAGATGGTGGCTAACATGATTCAGGGCAAATCTTCAGACAGCCTTTGTATCTGGAATGAAAGAAGAGCTTCATTTCTATGGTAATGTTAGTGAACCATGATGTATTAAGTAAAACCAATTGCTAATATAGACTTGCAGCAATTGAACTATGCTACAGTACGTGCTCATCTCCCCCTATTATAAATTACGAACGCTAAAATGGATTCGAAAAGACGTGCTACAATGTCGGTTTGGTAGGGGGTCCCTATTCCAACCTAGCAAAACGTCTTATCTCATGCCTTTAAACTAGATGGTTGCATTATGGCCTTCAAGTTTTATCCTTGTTCGAACGAAACCAAGATATTTCATTCCGTAAGTACCACAAATTCTCTTTAAGAAACATCACTGACACTTTTTCAAGATGCATACAATTAGCATGGACAATATGGTTCGTGGATTCGAAATATCAAACTTGACAAGTTAGACTCATAACCTATAGTACCTTCGCGCAATCCAGAATCGAGAACGCGGGGCAAATGTATGCTCTGAGGACCCTCATTGGCGTATTTGAAACGTACGTATCACCCCGGTCCCCATGAAACAAATAAGTTTCCAATATGCTCACATTCAACCAGTGGACACTATTCTGCCAGTAAGAACTCTCCCATCTTCTTTCTCGCATCTACTAATGCGCATTCTAGTTATGTACCTCTGCGGCTCATGGTACCAAAACAGTGAGCTAGCAACAGTAAGCTACATACGCTCGCTTCAAATATTAATTTACAAGCACTAACTCGAGGCATTCCTTCACTAGCGCCTTGCTTTGGTCAATACGGCATCTCAAGTCGGGCCTATGGTCAACTCATATTTGCAAAGCGCTGCTTACACTAATCTTGACGGCGTTAATGGCTTGTCTGGATGGAGATGGGTATGTTATGAGTGTTCTGAAATCCGCCCGCATGGTATGCTGATGAATTAAATGAATTAGCTCATGATAATTGATGGCATAATCTCAATAGCCATAACCCTTCCACAGATAATCTTGCTCCCGGAAGTCCCCTCACGCCTTACTGCGAATTTCATGTTCTCGGAAGCTGAGGTCCAGCTTGCGAAGGATCGACATCCGAAGGAAGGCAGAGCTGAGAAGGTTTCTTTTACTCTCGCTCAGGTATGTATAAATCATGAGATAGCCAGGGCTGTCGCTAATACGGTAGATAGGTCAAAAAGTGGTTTACCACACCAGAGATTTGGATTCTTTGGGTTATTTCAATGTATGCATAGTCTAGATGCTTTTCATACTTTGGTGTAGGAGCTTACGCAACTTAGATGCAACATGATCGGAATGCAGCCCTCGCTATCTTTAAATTTCTGGTTCAAGGGCTGGAATACCATCAAGCCAGGATCCTTTACCATTCCCCAAATCAGTGCGCACTTAACCTCATCCCCAATGCATTCATACGCTAATTAGCACGATCGCAGACAACTACACAACACCAATGTACGCCACAATCCTCGTGATTACAGTTGGCATGGCATGGATCAGTAAGCTTAAAGTCGCTTCCGTTGGACTACAAATGGACTGACAAGTCACCAACAGGTGATACGTTCCTCAAAGCTCGCAGATGGCCCATGATGGTCCTCGGCTGCACCATAAATTTCATCGTATGCATCTTACTAGCAGCTACCCCGTATACCCCCATAACAGAGCATTCCGCTGGTTCCTATACTACAACAGTGGATGGGGAGAGGCGTCGAACTGGTAAGTCCTTCTAGCTATGTGATCGGGATTTGCAATTCTTCATGGTTTTATCTCACTGACATCATTATAGCATGTTTTGGGCATGGACAAGTGATATTCTGTATGTGCTTCCTCCCTCCCAATCCCTATCACTCAACCACAAGACAACTAACACCACACAGCGACGGTGATCCACAAACCCGCTCATTCGCCATGGCCGGTCTCAACGTATGGGCCGCTGTTTTCGCAGCAACCGTGTATGTCCTTCCCCCCCTCCAAAAACCGCAGCTCCCCCTCCTTCTCAATATATCCTATTTCCTTCATCATACTAATAATTCTCTTTCAGCCCCCTCGCAGTATTTAAAACCGTCGACCAACCCGCCGTCGTCAAAGGAAACTACACCGCAGCCGGCTTCCTGATGCTGCAAGTCATCGCATCGCTTGGTCTTGCTGCGCTGCTGAAATGGAATCCTCGTCCTGCGGATAAGACTCGGACGCTTGCTGGAGATGGAGATAGAGATGTTAGTCCCGAATGGAGTTCTGGGGTTGTGGGGTTTGGGGAAAAGGTGTGATGGCATTGATGGATTGAAACTGTTGCGCGATGAAGGGGGGGGAGAATACATTGCTATAGTTCTAGCGATCAATGGAGTTGAAAAGATGTTGGATTTACTTATATTCTCGAAACACTAATACCGCACCCATAAAGTTATTTATAACTAAGCCTGCGTTCTCTGATAGAAGGTGTCTAGATTTGTATAGCAACACCCATAAAATAACCACGCCACTTAGACATAATTATACCACATCGCGATAATCTTTCCCTATAAACAGGTGAAACATCGTTACTAATAACACCAACTAATGCAATCACTATGGCGATTATTAAGGAGTTGCCACATCGGGTAATGGCGACTTAAACTATGCGATCAATGTCAAGAAGACGTTTCTTTGCCGCATTACGCATTCAAACAACGGACGAGGAGTTTGTTGTTCAATTTGATACCCTTTATTCCTGGTTATTATATAATACAACAGGACGCAGCAATCATATTGTCATGTTCACGTGCTACTTCATTTCGACGCTTTGACTCTGCCACACAACACTATAACTCGAGGCACTGTGGACCATGTCAGACCGCTTTTTCGTTCGGCTCAGGACCTCTTTGGCGACGTTGAAGTTGTTTACCCATTTGTGTTTAATATCCATGTCTGGACCTACACCTATGATGACGCGGCTCTGCTTGGTGCGGGGTTACTCATTATCCTGAGGTCGCCTACTCAGTGCTTGGTAAAACAGTTGCTGATGGTATCTTTGCCTGTGCATCATCTGGCATCAAGCTTGCGGAAAATCTCACCATTGTACTGTCGGTATAGTATGGAGAAAATGGGAGGACATAAATTTAGATTGTGTATGCTATGGGCACGCGTCCTCCAGGAGTACTGCCATGCTGCTACTTATCCGTACATCTGAGAAGTACACACATATATAGAGAATCGTTGTTTGATGCGAGACATGCTGCAATAATTGCAATCTTCTTGCCTACTAGCTGTTGATATTTATCATATTTAAACACGTCGCCATATGGTCCACGGATTGTGTTTAAGCTACCAACGCGTAGTAGGACAAGGCCATTTGCGGACTTGGTAATTCTCCCCGCAGACTAGACAACGAATTTAAATACTTATTCGTTCTTATCGATGAGATCAGATGTTGTAAAAGGAATCGCAGAATACCTTCTACATAGAAGGCATATAAGGCTGGACGGCGCTAACAATCCTACTTTGGAAGGTGAAGTTCTACCAGTATTTCGTTGGCCATGCAGAGAAAAATCTAGAGTGGAAAGCCAATGATGAACGAGGAATAATATTTTGGTCCAATAGAATTGATTACGGATAGTACTGATAAGCAGTCTGCGAGGTAATCCAGATCCCTAGGTCAGGGGTACATGCAAGCACGGAGATGTTTGGTAACTGTGAAGTACACCTCCGTAAACGGCTTAGGATGCCGGATACGCCTCAACACATAAATGCACCTGCCGAACATCGATGTATCATGTGCGCTGGATTTATGTCATACTGTTACAGGACTGCATTATCTTCCAGCCACCGACCTAAATAGTGCATATGGTATTGCTGGATACTGGAAAGGTTCTTTGTGTGACTGGTTTTTACGGTTTGG